GTTAGGGAATGCAAAAGTAAACAATTGTAGAAGACGTTACTATTACATTCATCACTTTTTTCTTTCAAAATGAACATTTCATTCTTAAAAAAACTCAAAAGACAGTTTATAATTTTCATTGCAATAAAAAAATTCCAAATCATTCCCATTTAATATTCGTTAATTATGAATTTTTAGCTTCAAAATAGGCAAACATTCATTTAGTTTTTAAAATAATCTTCAAAAATTAAAAAACTATTCAGTTCTTAAATATGGGTTCATAAGACAAATACTCATAAACTTCAAAGCTTCATCAAATGCCTTAAATAAATTCATGCATATTCATTTTATTTATCATTCATTACTATTACTTATTATTCGTTTTATTCATTTTATTTATTTTATATATTATTATTCTCTATTAATTTAGATTAATCTACTTTCACATGGAAAACAAAAATCTGGTAAAATTACCATACTGTGCGATAATGACATTTCTGGTGAAAAAACAACATGATTCTAGTTAATGAAACTGAAAAAAAACTTTTAACCCTTCATTTGGTAGTTTTTTATTTATGTGGTAATTATTTACCAGAAATACTGATTTTCGAAATTATAGTTCTTATTACTACACATTATGAGTAAAAAATAAAAAATAAAAAACTGAAAAGTTACTTTAACTAAATACTTATGCAATGCCCAAATGTATCATAATAAAATTACCAAATTTCAGCCCATTTAACACGTTTATCAAGCATTATAAAACGATATTTTATTGTTAATTTTACCAAATCATTACCAAAGCTCTTCAGTAAAATGTACCAACCTTTTTGGTGTTCCCATAGAGTCAGAAATACTTATTTTAGTAGTTTTGATCCATTTTTAAAACTGAATATTATACCAGCAAAAATTAAAGAAAAACATTTTCGTTCCATATTTATACAATAGGAGACGCAAATGAAATCGTACACGGAGAAAAAAAACTCGCGCAAATTTTCCTTATGAATGGTAATAAAATTTTCAGATTTAAAAAAAAAATTCTGGTAATAAAAATCAAAATATACGGTATTTAAACCTATTATTTGGTATTACTTCCGTTCATATGATAAAGGTTTACAGGAAATTCTCGTATTCAAAATTATAGTTCTTATTGCCACACATTTAGTAAAAAACTAAGAAAACTAAGAATTAAATTTAACCGAAAAAATGGTTTTTATGCTATGCTCAAAAGTATCATGACAATATAATTAAATTTAACTGCATTTTTCAATTTTTTTCGTATATTATTAAACCATTTTCGCATTCTATCGCATATTATTCCTAATTTTATCAAAATCATTGCTAAAACACTTCAGTAAAAATTGCCGAGCTTTTTCATGCTCCCATAACACTGGGAACACAGTTAACTTTACCATTTTCTGGTATTTTCGACCATACATCTTTTCTGAGTGCGATCTTTAAACCCGAAATCAATCTTCTTTAAAAAGCCAATTGAAATAGCTTAAAATGCTTGAAGAAATGTTCCTAATAATAGAGTTTTGGTTAAGGGGGAATATTTAAGTATAAAGATTTATTTAAGAGGTGCTATTAATAAATAGACAATAATTGCGACTCTATTTACGGTATGGAAGTGAAGCTGAAATGTTGTTGCTATTAAGGAGATAGTTATGGGATGTGTTTTAACTCCCGCAGGCTCTATCTATTGTTGTGTAAAGAACAAAGCTTCAAGCTTTATCGCATTCAGCGAAAATCTTACTCAGTTAATAAGTATTCGCCTCACACTCCTCTGTTGTTGTTTCTTCTGTGTAATTATTATCCTTTTGTTGAATATCATTTTTCAGTACCAGAGATGTTTTTTTTCTATCCTTTTGATAATTGCTTTATGTGTTTTGAAGTCATTTTCTTAACTGTGAAAAATATTTAATGCATTATAGATATAATTTTAATAAATCATAAATACTTTAATCTTTTTAATAAAAAATTTAATTCTTAAAGAAGGTTTTTTAAGAGATCAAATTTCTTTCAACTACCTCGAAGAACTTAAAAAAATAATCATTTTTAAGGACTTTATTAGTTTAAAGTAGTTTCCTTTCTGGAAAATTACCGCACTATTTGGTAATGACATTTCTGGTTAAAAAAAGAAAAAAAAGCATAATTCAGGTTATTCAAACCAAAGTAAGCGGCATTTAAATCATTCATTGTGTAATTTTTCCGTTCATAAGGTAACAGTTAACCGGAAATTCTGATTTTCAAAATTACGGTACTTATTACCACACATTTAGTAAAAAATACAAAACTGAAAAAATCAATGCTCGTAGGTTTCATGACAAAATAACGAAATTTTACCACATTCACCAATTTTTATAACACATTATAAAGCAATATTTTATTGATAATTTTACCAAAATCATTACCAAAGCACTTCGGTAAAAATTTTCGAGCTTTTTGGTACTCCCACACAACCTGAAACATGGTATATTTTACCACATTCTGGTAATTTCCACTAAACAGTTTTTCTCAGTTTACTCCTTTTACCCAAAATCAATCTTCTTTAAAAAGTCAATTGAAATAGCTTAAAATGCTTGAAGAAATATCCCTAATAATAGAGTTTTGGTTAAAGGGCAATATTTAAGTATAAAGATTTGTTTAAGGGAAGGTATTAATAAATAAACAATAAATAAGACTCTATTTACGGTATGGAAGTGAGGCGGAAATGTTGTTGCTATTAAGGAGATAGTTATGGGATGTGTTTTAACTCCCGCTAGCTATATCTATTGTATAAAGAACAAAGCTTCAAGCATTATCGCATTCAACGAAAATCTTACTAAGGCAATAAACATTCGCCTCACTCTTCTCTTTTGCTGTTTCTTCCGAATAATTATTATCCTTTTGTTGAATATCATTTTTCAGCACCAGAGATCTTTTTTTTTTCAATCCTTTTGATAGTTGCCTTGTGTGTTTTGAAGTCATTTTTCTTAACTGTGAAAAATATTTCATACTTTATCTTCCATATCCGAGAATTTTTTTCCCTCTGTGAAAATGGGAGAAATACAAATTCACCCTTTTGTGATTTTTTTCTCTTTTTTTTTTAACTTCTATTAAACCGGAAATTAAATTTGGGAAAAAAGTTTCGCTACTGTACGTGATCAATTTATTCAACGATGTGTGTAGAAGTTTTAATAGTAAGCTAACACTTTCCTTTAGAATTTTAACTAAACATTCTTCTTTTTATTTCACTGTTTTTTTTTATTATTGTTATAATTATTTGCTTTCATTATATTTGGATACAGGTGAAATTCATTTGAAGTAATTCTTTTAAGAACGTAATGTTTTTGAATTGAATAATGAAAATTCAGTTTTAATTAATGTGTACTGCATTTTTTATTAATGGTTAAGGACTGAAATTTTTTTTTAACGATATTGTTTCATTTAGATAATTAAAACCGGAAACTTAATCACTCTTTCAAAAACTGAAGATGTATAATTAAAAAGGGGATTAACAATGATGGCGCCCTTAAGCAATCCCGTTAATGTTTACTTAAATACTTTTTAATGTTAAGAAAACTGTGAAAATAATTTTTCAAAGTCGACTTCATTATGAAGATAATTTTATCAGACTGTATGCTTTGCAAAAAAGAAGAAAAAAAATTAATACCGATTTCTTTTATGACCATTTCTTTTATCACCATTTATTCCTTATAGATATATTGATAGCACTTATGGCCTACGTAAATTTCCTATGTCATATATTTAAATTGGAAGAAGAAGACTAGACAGATATGGATTTATTTTTTATAACATGATTTACTGTAAAAATAGGTACTCAAAATTCATAAATTGTTTGGTGAAACTATTTCCTGAAAAATGCTTCGAGTCAACATTTCAACAAATTGTAGAAATAAATATTTTTGATTGTTTGAGGATATGATTTTCGTCACAAGCATTAGGTTTAATGCGTAACTGATTAAGAAGTATAACAAAAAATAAGAGGAGTATGAAAAAATGAATAACCGGTCGCTACCAGGATTTGAACCCAGGTAATATGTTTGACAAGCGAGAACATTAAACTTTTCACCATTCAGTCAATTAGTTTTAAAATCATATAATAATTATTGTAATACTTCTAAAATGCACTTAGACTGTATAATAGTGAGGAAGCTGCTTCGTCAAATGTTTGAGAGTTCACCTTCCATCAATAATCACATGGCTTCGTGACGAAATGATTGCCTGAAATGATAAAAAGCAGCTCGAGAGTTGCGGAATCAACGAAAATAAAAGTTATTACTGAAATGATATGATAGCACACTTGGATATAATAACCAAAGAATATAATAGCAAACTTAGATGTAATAGCCCTGTTAGTAAGAGATAACGTTTCAAAATGCTTAAGAATTAAATAGCGGAAATTTTGATTAAAAGATTATTTATTGACAAAAGAAACAGACAGAGAAGCGAGTTGAATAAAACTGGTAAAAGCGGGAGTAAAACGACATTTTAAAAAAAGTGAAAATTTTATATTTGGTATTTCTGTCATATTTTTAAGAAATTGTTTGAAAAATAATCTAAGGCCTATTTAATCTAATCAAAGTAATGAACGGCCCATGTAATCTATATTATAATCTAAGGCCTACTTAAGAGCATTTCTAAAAAATGACATGAAAAATTGAACCAACGTCACCTGGTACAGAATACTTAAGAGATACATTTGTTTCTTCGATGAGAAAATGTTTTTCAAATAATAATAACAATATATGAAAATTTTAGGCACAATTTTGGAAAAAAATTCTCAATTGTATTTGAGGAAGTGAGATTTTAATTGAGGTTTAATTTTGTAATTGATATATTTTCTAATTCTCATACATTCAGTTCTGACTAGTTTCCTTTTACTTATGTTATTACACATTACCATGATATATAAATATCATTTTCATCATTTATTTTAGTGAAATGAAGTTGGGTTGTAACTACGCCCATCGGTCCGTAATATTTATCATTAGACATAAAATGTTTTTCTTTTTTAGGGCTTTGATCATTAATTCAGAACCTAAGATAATGGATAACTTAGGTGTCCTTTACATAAGTGCTGGTCGACTCAAAGACGCTAAGGAGATCTATAAAGAATTATTTGAAAAGTATAATGATTACACTGAAGGGAAAGTACATTTTGTAAGTTTTTTTTTCAGAAAACTTGAATATTTAAATCTAAACATGATATAAAATTATTTGCATTAATAAAGAATTTTTTATTTCGCGATATTGACACGCTATTTGGAAATATCACAACTGTTTAATTTACTTCGCTTTTCTATAGTAAATGTTAAGGTTAGATATTTCACAAAAAGAAAATATTTTTTTTTTATTATTTAAAAAAAATCTTTTCTAAAATTTTTTAAGCTTCTTTAATATATAGGGTGATTCTGAGATCATGGAACAAACCTGAAGAGGTGGTTAAGCATACTAAAACCTTTTTATATAGGACTGTAGGGTTTTAAGTGACAGAGATTAAAGCACGAATACAAAAAAAAAAGAAGAAAAACATGGGAGGAAAAAAGTATTTACTTACAAAATCACCGCAAAATGCTTAACAGCAACACATATTCTCTATAAATTTTCAAAAGTTCGACCACTAACAGTAACTAACAGTAACACAAACTACAACTGTGATTGGCAATGCAGCGGGTAAAGGACCGTAGTGAACCGGGTAAACCGCACTGCACAAAATGAATGCTCAAGTTTCAAAAAAAAAATTTTCGTGCTCAACGAAACCGTTTCCTGGTATATGCTACAAGCAAAAATTTTGGTAAAGTGCCGAAATAACTATCGTCATTTCTTCGAGGAAAGGGATTTCGACAAAATTTACGAAATATTTCGTCATTCTATCTTTTTCCGAAACAAGAAAAAAAAATACTCGCAGTGCCGTAATGTATCTCACTTTTATACTTATCACTTCATCGTGGACGGCATAGAGGTAGATCAATATCGTCCAAACAGCACAAGAAGAACAGATAAAACACCTGCCAAAAACGTAATTCAAACCCAGGATTTTTCTGGTAAGAGGCCAACTCTTTGATCACCGCACACCCAGTCGGCTTATCTCGTCATTTTATTTTTAATTTTCCAGTTTTGTCAGTCTAGTTAGCAATCTCCCACAATGCACTGCGACGAGGTTCCGAGTTGAAGAAACATTTTCGTCATACATTTGAGAGTTCGCGTTTTATCAAAAATCATGTGATTTTGTGACCAAATGATTCTTAAAATTAACGAAATACAGCTCAAGGATTGCTGCACCGTCAAAAGTAAGAGCTTTATTTCTGAGAGTGCACGATTCGATGTATTTTTTATTTATTTATTTATTTTTGCATCAGCGGAAGCAGGCACTTTTTAACTTGTTCTCAATGTCAACGGTACCAATCACGTTGGAGCTCGCAGTTTTGAATATTTATTTTATTTTGTAACAGTCTTTGAACAGCCGACCCATTTTTTTTGTTTACGACTATCAATGCTTAACTCCGCAGCCTTGTAATTTTGAACCCAATCCAAAAAAAACAAGGGATCAAGTATTGGGGGAAATTTGCCTTCATGGAGGACTTTTTGATAGAACTAATTCTCATTTAAGCTCACAGTGTGGAAAACCACGAAAATCTCCCACGATTAGACTGGCGGCAAAGGAACTCTAATCCATGATCCGCCCACCATTGAGGGTATTTTACGTCAGCACTGTGGTCAGTGCTAGCTGGGTGCGGAATTCGTATCGACCTGCCATCACTGGGATACGAACCTGTCTCATCTCATTGAAAGGCGAACGCTCTATTCCGTGAGCAACCATTGAACATTTATCGTGAACACCGTTATATTGCAAAGAAGCACTTTGCATTGTTTTTGTAAATAAACTCATTTTTCTTCCATGTCATTTTTGCTTTCGCACCTTTAAACTTCACTTTAGACCCTACATTCCTACACAAAAAATACATGTTTTAGTACGCTCAATCACTCCATCAAGTTTGTCTTTATTATTCTTTTCAGAAGTAGGTAGTGCGGTACCATTAACACTGTTAGTACTTTCAACTTAAGAATGATAAGACACTGGTACAACTTTAGCTTTTATTACAAATTTTGGTATATATCATTTGCTTCGAATAAAACCATGAAAGTTATATATACTTCAGCTATGTCAGAAAGCAACAAAAAACATTTTCTCCGTTTCGTATTCTGATATATAAACTGTTCTTATCTTTCTTATAAAATTTCTGAAAATAGACGAAGTTGATTTGGTTACTACATGTTTTCTATATTCTTATTTCTAATTTTGAGTCGAAACAATAATAAATAAGTAAAATAAAGCATTCTCGCAACAACCCGTTACAGTCCAGGTGAATCATGGAGTTTTAGGCTCCAGAATTTTGTGACCAATTGTATGATTTCATAATGTCATGTGCAGTGTGGTCACAGCATCAGATCGATCGATACCAGAAAGTACATATCAATCTGAAATTAAGTAATTTGTAAAATAGCCCTAAAACTACATTTTTTATATATGCTGTATTTCGGTTTCGTTAGAACGATCGCCTTAAAAGAAAAGAAAAAGAGAAAAAAACAAGAGCAACGAAGCCTCAAGTTTGAATTAGATATAAGTCATATTACATCAGTTCATTATCATGAAAGGTTTTATAAATAAGGATAAAATAGGATAAAAAGGGATAAAATATTAAGATTTTTTAAGAATTTTATATGCGATTATGATTTTTAAATAAATTCCGGAAGATTACAAAAAAAAATTTATTATTTTTGCTTAAAATGATATTAAAAGTTTTTTCTATAAGAAAATTAAAAGTCAGACTATTTGTAAGTGTATCGTTTCCACTGTCTTACTTTAAATTTTTAATTTAAACAATAGTAAATATTATTATTTTCTTATTATATATTTTTATTGAAAATGTGTTACAGGCTCAAGTTCTGATGCAAGAACGAAGTTTTCAGCAAGCCGAGTCATTGCTACAATCGGTAGTGCAACAGAATACCAGTCACAGAGATGCACTTCATCAACTATCTTTACTTTATAGCCAAATCAACAGAACAACTGAGGTAAGAGGAAATTAAAGAGAAAAATATTTTTTCTACTTAATTGAAGCTGAAAAAAAATATACGTATGCTAACATCTATAGTAGTGTTAGATATATTGAAACATTTGCTCTCGGAAAAAAATTTTGTTAAAAAAATGGATGGACTTAGTATATTAATTTAAACAAATATATCACCATTTCCTATAAAAGTCCCTATAAAACACGTTACTTTATTTATGTTTTCCTATCGTAAACTACTTATTCCGCTTTCATCTATGAACCACACTTCTTTACTAATACTTCCTAGCTCTAAATTACTAATTTCACAGTTTCATGGAAAATATGTAACTTAACTATTCTGCTAAATCTGCTAATCATAGTCTCTTGTAAAATAGTCATAAAACTACAACTTTTTCAACCATATAATGGTGTTTTTTGGTTTTTCTAGAATGATCGCCAAAAATAAAAAAATAACAGAACATCAAATTTGAACCAGATGTAATTCATATTATTCATTGCAATTTCACATATAACAACGACAATCGTTGATCTAATTTCCGCAATAATTCTAAGAAATTGAAATTACTGGGTCAGCTTTAATGCTTCTTTCGGCAAATAAAATAACTTCGATTATTATAAATTCCCAAAGAACAAAATGAATTTTCAATTTTTATGAATTTGAAAAGTAATTTGGGACTCGTGCAACTTAATTTCCGAAGATTTTAAGATTAATTTTTATTTTTTAGTATATGGCAAAATTTGCCCTGTTTTTGACTGTATGGGAACACTAAAAAGCCAAAAATACTTTTTACCAAAGTGCTTTGGTCATTAGTTTAGTAAAATAAACAATAAAATGTGGTATTATTACATGAAATAAAGTTAATAAAATGTGGTAAAATTTAGTAATTTTATCATGATATATTTTTGCATGGCATAAATACAATTTATTCATGTAAATTTAGTTTTAAGTTCTGTACTTTTTACTAAACTTGTGGTAATAAAAGTTTTAATTTTAAAAACCAGAACTTCTAATTAACCGTTACCATATGAACGAAAAAAATTACTAAATGAATGGTTCAAATACCGTATATTGTGATTTTATTACCAAAAATTATGTTTCTTTAACAGAAATGTAATTACCGTACAGTACAGGTAAAGTAATTTTACCAAATTATTTTCCCCCAGTATATATCCCCCAAATATTTTTCAAATATAAAAGCTAACACTGCTAATTAACTTTGTTGTATTTTAAGCACGTAATTTTAAAAAATATTATCACATAACTTTAAGAAACACTCTTTTATGAAGCAAATTGCTAATTAAAATTAACACAACTAGATGCCTACTAATATACTTTAATATGTAATTTTACAACTTATTTTGAGGCATGAATTTCTGAACAAAATTTACTTTCCAAAACTGTATCTCCCATAAAAAAGTTCTACTTTTAAGTTCCCCTTAACTAAAAATAAAAATATTTTAACAGCATCGTAGGCAATTGTTTTCTGCCGTGCATAAAACACTTAAAGCGCATTCTCAAATTATTTAACCAGTTTGCACAGCCTTCAATGTAAAACAAAATAATAAAATGTTCCAGAACAAGGAACATTCGCTTCAGCACTATCATCGTTTATGAGGCAATTTTCATACCATAAAATACAACAAAACTTTATTAATCAAGCGAAAAAAAAATATTTTAAAGAAAGTGATAAAAAAAAGAACGAAATATGCCATTTACTTAAACACCATTCCCGCTTTTATGCAAAATAGCGGAAAAAGGATTTTGAAAGTACATATATTTCCATTTCCTTTTTGATTCCTTTTGGAGCTAAAGCAACCACGAAATCCAAATACCTCTTCCGCATTTCCTTTCTGACAAGAAAGAACACGGAAAGGAATCTTCTCAAGAAGATCTTGCTGGCGCTTCCTCATCCTTTTCGATTTCATTTCGCACCCGACTATTACAACCTGAAAACTTAGACAGTAATACAAGGAGAGAGAATCTTCTAAAGCTGTAAAGAAGACTTAGATAAATTGATTCTCGTTCTTGGGATAGCTTGGCCGACATGCGTGTCAATCTCTTCCCCAACCCCCTATACTACCCCATCGGAAATGAGTTTTCGTCTGACTTACCTTCTGAGGTATGCAGTGGTCGTTGTTTTCTGAACATAGAATTTCCTTTTTTCGAGGAAATGTATCAATGAATTGATGAAAGTTGCATGTTTGGACATGAATCCTTGCTTGTTGAATATGTATGTAGACATCGGCGTTATTTAAGAATGACTTAAGATTTTACTATCAACACTCGACTGATTTGTATCTGGGGTAAATCTGAATAAATATTTCTCTACCTAGCACTTTCTTGCTAAGATTTAAAAAAATGTTTTGGGAGAAGAAATATTGAATGCTACGCTGAATACAGTTCGCCTTTGACGCTGAAACGTAAGTTAGAGGGTAAAAATAAATTCAAATTTTACAGCTACAAGTTTATAAGATAACATATTTTTATTATCAGCGTAATCTTTGTGCATCGAATCTATTTAATTTTACAAACACCTCATAGGTTTTAAACAAAAATAGTGTAATCACTGGAACGATTTACATAAGCTAACATCGCAATCATTAGAGAAAAATAAGATAATAGTTCAATTTAAACCTTCTTGAAGTTGGAAAATATATATAAATATATCTATATGTATATATTTGAAAAAAATATAAATTAATCCAAATTGCTTGTCATAAACCTAATTAACAACAGGAAAACAGGAACTATTTAATTAGTATCAAAAGCCACTGCAAAATTGAATTCATTTCCAAAATGAAGAGTATAAATGCTATTAAAAAGCACGGACAACATGGAAGTGTCATTAGGGAAATTTATGTCTAATAATTTGTATTCATTTACATTTTCTTAGAAATATTTTTTCAAGTTATAGCATTTGCAAATCAACTTGGCGCTGTTGTGACTTAGAAACTATATATATATATATATATAAAATTTATTTATTAATTATTAGACAGCGCAGTCATTAAAGTGTGTCCGAAAACTTGCGTTTCTCCATTATATGTTAGAGAAAATCTTGCAAAATAAAATCCGTAAAATGTTTCACTTTAGGGAGGGAGGGAAATCTTAGTAGTTGCTATTGGTTTATGAAATAGATCGAGCGTTTCCCACAGAGAGCAAAAGGAAAAATGTCCTGCTTTTAATTAAATGTATACTTGAGCCAAAAATAGATTTAAGAACAGGATGTGGCTTTTAAAAGTGTGAGAAAGTATTTCGATAAGAATAATTAATTAGGATCTAGTTTTATAGCAAAGAAACTAACATAAAAAGATNTATATATATATATATATAAACTCAACGGGCAAAAAATTAGTCACCCTAGTGCGCAAGCCCCGAAGAGTCGCTAGGTTTCCTTAGATGACGCAGTAGTCAAATGACGTGCTCAACTGCGTACGTGGTGCCTCAACGTGGTCAATGGCAAGTAGCCATCGGTGAGATACTTTTGTTTTACGCAGAAATTGTGTATTATATGTATTATATGGGTAAGTGTAAGAGTGTGACAGAGTGGCGAAAAGGGCAAGTGTGTTTGACCGTGGCCATGGTCATACGCTGAATGAATGTGCTAGATTTGTTGGTGTTTCGGTGAGGACTGTGCAGCGTGTCTGCAAGCAGTGGTGTAATACACTTTGTCATGAAAGACGACGTCAGAATTGTAACTGGAAAAAAATAATGTATGAAAATGACCGGAGACGTGTTTCACGATTTGTCAAAATTAATTCAATTTGTCAAAATCGCTTCCAAACCCGACAGGAATTGCATCAGTTAGTGAATGAAGGTTCATCCCAACCTGTTAGGCAGAAAACATTGAGAGGGGAGCTGCATGCAAAGAACATTTAGAGTCGAACACCTCGTAAGAGGCCATTGCTCACACAATCGCATAAAGCTGCGCGAACTCAGTGGGCTAGAAGTCACCGAACATGGACAGTTGCTGATTGGCGGAATGTAATATGATCTGACGAATCACGTTTTTGCCTTTATTAAAATGACACACGTCGTCGAGTGCACGGTAGAACCGGTGAAGCATTTCCTCCTGACTGTGTGCAAGTTTAGGTTCAAGTTTAAGTCTCATGTTTTGGGGTTTTTTCTTATCATGGATAGGGCCTCCTCACTGAAATGGTCACTAAAATGAGCCGACATGTTTATTTGAACACTCTGAAAGATCTGGTGTTGCCTTTCAGTCAACATCTTCATGGAGAGCATGCTGTTGATATCCCTATTTTTTAAGATGACAACAGCAAAGTTCATCGGGTTGGAAGAAAATGTGACTGGTTTCATGAACACTCAGACACTCAATTACATCTCAACTGGCCTGCTAAATCACCTGACTTGAACCCCATTGAAAATTTGCGGGACATATTGGAACAACGTGTACGACACCGAAATCAGCATTCTTGCAATTTAGTGGACTTGAGTGATCAAATACCGGCTTAAACTAGATCCTACATACCCACAAAAACTTGTGGACTCACTTCCTAATCGAATCCAGGTGGTTATCAAATCCAGAGGTAGTGTTACGCGTTATTAAGTGATGTTTTCAAGGATATCTCTTGGAGTGACTAGTTGTTTGTCCGGTGTGCTTATATATATATATATTAATTTGCATCTTTGAGCTGGTAATTTTGAGAGAAAAATCATTGTCGTTCATAATCATACAATACTAAACACAATGCATATTAAAAATCATAAAAAAGTTACTTTACTTTTCGCTTAATGGAAAGTTAAATTTTATTTTCGTATGAAAAATAATAACTAATTTTGTTGTATATAGCGAATATTACGAACTTTAATATATTATATATAATTTTAATATAATATATTACTTAATATAACGAATTTTAAGAAAAAGATTGTTATTTTTTTTCTCCTTTTATTATTCTATAAATCGGATTTCTAGTTAGTGAAAGCATGTATAATTTTCTCTACAATGAGTGACCTTAATATATTCGTTTTGGATCCTC